GATTCTTTGTTTTTCTTCTTTTTTTATTTTGATGAGTAGGTTTGTTAATTTGCTTTATGGTGACCTTGAAATTTACCCTTATGTTCCTAAGTTTGAATCTGCCTTTTATTACTTGATATCGTCTTGACTTCCTCTCCATTTGAAACTTCTATACCTACACCATTTTCCCCCCTTTTATTGTGTTTATATTGTTGTCTTTTAAGATTGATGTCTCTGCTTCCCTGTTGTAAGTCTTTTAGCTTTGTTTTATTATTAACAGTTCTTTACCTAGGCTGGTGTCTGCCTGATGCTGTCTTATGTCCTTGACTCTGTTGTAATCTGATGTTTCTCTAACTGAAGGACTCCCTTTAATATTTCTTGTAAATTTAGTTTGGTTTTTAAAAATTCCCTTAATTTCTGTTTTTCTGAAAATGTCCTAAATTCCCCATTATATTTGAGAGAGAGTTTTGCAGGATATATTATTCTTGGTTGTCAGTTTTTTACTTTCAAAGTTTTATGTATGTCATCCCATTGCCTTCTTGCCTGCATAGTTTCTGCCGAGTATTCAGAGCTTAGTCTTATTGTTTCCTCTTTGTAAGTGACTTTTTGTTTTTCTCGAGCTGCTCTCAGTATTCTCTGTTTGTCTTTGGTTTTGGCAAGTGTGATTATAATATGTCTTGGTGACTTTCTTTTGGGGTCTCTACTATACAGGGTTCATTGAGCTTCTTGGATGGTCAACTTTTTGTTTTTCCTGGTATTTGGGAAGTTTTCTACCAGTAAATCTTCAACAGTCTTCTCTGTATTTTCCATTGTACCCCCCTTTTCTGTAACTCTGATCACTAGCAGATTTTTGCTCTTAATTGTGTCCTACATAATTTTTAGCTTTTTTCCACTGTTTTCTCTGAGTTTTCCTCAAACAAAGTGATGTCCATGGATTTGTCTTCAATCTTACTGATTCTGTCTTCCATTGTTTCAAATTTTCTCCTAAAACCTTCTATTGAGTTGTCCATTTCTGAAATTTTATTGTTTATCTTTTGGATTTCTAGTTGTTTTTGTGTGATTTCTGATTATTTTGATGTTTTGTTCTCGTATTATTTTCCTGAATTCTTCTATTACTCTGTGTTTTCCTTGAATGTGGGTATGTTTTCGTTGGTTTTATCTGTGCTTTCCATGATTTTGTCTAATTTTTCTTTTTTAATCTCTTGGAGAGCCCTAAATATTAGTGTTTTGAATTTATATCAGGTAGTTCCACTGCCTTTTTTTCTACTGGAAGGTTGTCTGATTCTTTATTTTGGTCACTTGCTGGTTCCATCTTCTCATGCTTTGTTTGTAAGTTTTGATATTGTCTGCTGTCTCAAAGAGATTATTTATTGATTGTATGTTTGTTTGTTTTGTCCTGCTTTTTTGTTTTGTTTGGTTATGTCAGGGCAAGTAGGCTGGACATGCTTTGTTGCTTGCTTATCTGTGGGCACGATAGCTGTCACCACCTTGTCTTGGCGGATAGGGTAGCAGCAGGCAGGGGAAGTTCGCTTTGCTGTATGGTGGTTTTATGAGTTGTCTGAGGGAGGGCTGGGTGGGCTCTGCCTCCTAATGTTGGTCCAGTGGTGTGGGAATGTTTACAGCCCCTTGCCAGATGGATGGGCGTGTCAGATGGGGAGTGTTACAAGTTCACTTCCTAACATTCAGCAGCTGGTTGAGTGACAGGAGGTGAAGGGTGTTGTGGGCTTGGTATGGTGGTAGGCCTGAGTGCTGGGGATGCTGTAGCCACAGCAGTGTGGCGGGAATGAGTGGAGTTTGCATATGGGGTAAGGTGGGAGGGAGATAGAAAAGAAAATGGAAAGAATTAAAAGGATATCTGACGAGTGGGGGCAGGGTGGACGTAGGGCCTGGCGGGACGTGGGAGAGGTGGTATACGGGGCTAGGTGGTAGGTGAAAAGAAAGAGAAAAAGGAAAAAAAAATTGATGGCAGGGTGGGGCTGGCGGATGGTGGCGCTGCATACTTGGGGCAGCAGTGGGCTTGTGGGCTGGTGGCAGTCTCTCCGTGGGGTTGTGACGGGGCCCAGCTGGAGGTGGGGGGAGGTGGTGTACAGGGCTGGGTGAAGGTAGAAGAAAAGCGAGAAAGGAAAAAATAAAAGAATAAATGGCAGTGGCTGGTGATTGGGGCTAGGTGGACCTGGGGCTGTTGGGAAGGGAGAGGAGGTGCCTTATGGGGCTAGGTGAGGGAGAAAGAAGGGAAAAAAAACAGTGCATCTGGGCCTTCAGGTGGGGGTGGGGCAGATCTGGGGAGGTGGTGAGCCAGTGCGCGGGTGGCTCTGTAGCTGCAGTGGCATGGCAGGAGCTGGCGAGAAGGGGAGGAGGTGGCATATGGGGCTAGGTGGGAGGGAGAAAGAAAAGAAAGGAAAAAAAAAAAGACAGCTTGGCATGAGCCGGCAGAACGAGAAGGGATGTGGCATATGGGGCTTAGTGGGAGGGGGAAGGAAAAGGAACAACGGAAAAAAAAGTTGTGTGGCAGTATAGGGTGGGGTGGGTTTGGGGAGGGGCTCATTTTGTGGACCCTAGCTGTAAGGACTGCTGGGATGGGAGGGGTTCTTGTTTCTACTCACTAGAAGGGTGAGGGGTGGGAAAGTGTGTTTCTCTGGTTACTGGTTGCTCTGTCTCCTGTTGAGAGCTCTGTGAAATTGCCTTCCCATACTTCCTGACTGGAGTTGTTGCTGACTGTGCTTCCAGGAGGCAATGCTGCCATGTTAGTTGGCAGGGGACCTCCACTTCGTATCTCTCCTCTTTCTCTGTTTTCCATCAGTTTCTTCTTCTATCAGTGTTTGATCTACTTCTTTATCTCTTCATTTGATGCTCGGGATTCCAGGATTGACATTTGTATGTTTTTCTTAGTTTTTTAGGTCTTTGCTCCAGAGGTACAGCATGGCGCATCTGTCTAGGGCACCATGTTGCCTCCGCCGTTGTAATTGAAAATTTTAATGCCATACATGACAGTGTGTGATTCAGCCTGACAATAAATGGGATAGAAAGTGAAAGGTCAAATTCAGAGAAACGAGAAATCTTGAATTCTAAGAAACATCGTTTCTTCTGGTTAAAGAAATTAGTTATTAGTATACACTTGTAATCGGGCATTTACCTAAGTTACTTTGTTTGGGGTTGAGATCAAGCCACTAAAATTAGTTAACCTCAAATATCAGACTATTTAATTTTACGTTTTTCTTTAAGTATGGGAGCCTAACTTCATTCTTGTTAAAAATAACATGTTTTGTTCCTCTTGTAGTTCATCTTGCTTTTGGTTTAGGCTTTTTCCTCTTCTTGTTAGTTGTTTTTTGCGGTTAATCAGAGTACCACCTTTAGGGCATTTGACCTTAAGGATACTCATTAATCATAGTAAAGCACTAACGCACTACCTGGGAGTAGTTGAATAAAAGAAAATGTCTTCAAAGTTAACTTTGGTTTTTCTGTCACTAAATAAAGGATGAGTTCATAAGTCTTTTTATCAGTTATCTTTTTTGCTGCAATTAGAGAGCTTTTGATTACAAGTAACAGAAAATCCTGGATTAAACTTAAAGGAAATTTTTACCTGCCATAATAAGTCCAAAGATAGAGTGGCTCCAAGCACAATATGATCAGAGTTCCATTCAATATGATCAGAGAAACTCCATTCTCTTGGTTCTGCCTTCCTTAGTATGTTGTTGCCATTCTCGGGATAGTGACAACTACAGCAGGCCCAAGTGTTACATCTAGACAGGACGACCTCCTGAAGAAGAGGCCACTCTCTGTTTTGTGCCTGTCTTAGGAGCAGAGAAACTTTAACTACACATCTCTAATGTTTTCTGTGTTGTTGAGCCATGAGAGTGGCAATGAAATGGATAGAGGGACTAAGATAGGGATAGAGAATTAGTGAGCAAAGGAGGAGAATTGACCAGACAGCTGGTTGGTATATACAGGTAATAATTTTATTATTGGTGAGGAAAAGGTGTTAGGAATGGTAATCTAGGGAACAATTTGGCTGGAGTTTAAGACCTAAAGAACTAAATGCAAGGGATTTGGCTCTCTCATCTTTGAGGGAAAGCCCACCCACTCTGGGTGAAGAATCTGTCAAGAAGGGATTAGTTGGGAGAAACTGGCTGAAGCCAATCTAAGATCAGAAAAATCTCTCAGAAGTAATTAAGTGGCTTCATTTATTGAGTACAAATATTGTTTGGGTATTGTATTAGGTGTTTTAATCTTCACAGCTTCATCAGGTAGGAATTACTCCATTTTATAGATGAGGTAACTGTGGTTGCTAAGACAAGTTAAGTAGCTTGCCCCGGTCATATTGAGGTTCAGGCGCAGATTTTGAACCTTTGCTTCTCTGATTTGAAAGCTCACGCACGGTCTTTTGGCTGTACTGCATTGGATACTTTCCTAAGTTAGGTAAGGATCTATTCTAACTAAAATGTGTGTTTCTAATTTGTATACTTTGTATTTAGTTTCGTAGCTTCTGAGGCATACTGTAAAGTAGTATACTCTGTTAGCTTAAATTCATATTCCTCATATTGAGTGTTAAGTAATGAATTTAAAAGAAATGAATACAGCCTCTTGATGAAAACATCTTAGAATGCCTGAATTTATGGTGATACATTTTCCATATCTAGCTTTTATGAATAAGCATTCAGAAAATTGTTTTCTTCTTATGTCCAACAGAGAAGAAACGTAGTTTTGTCTATGTTTTATAAATATAAAGATGTTAGGAGAAAATCAACCTCCATTCATATCTTCTGCTTTATTAAGATGTTACTGGCAAAATGACTTTACTATGTTACATTTGCACAGTTCTGGTCATTAAAGTTGCATGTTCAAAACATGAATAGCGATTACATGTGAGAAATGAAGATGTTTTGCTTCTTCTTATATATCCGGGTTTGAAGAACTTGACCACTTATATATTGGAAGATGTTTCATTATTTTTGCTTAAAGTATTTTAGAATATAACTCATTTGATTGATTACATATACGCTGCACACATCTATCGCTTGCAGATATCAAACCTTCCAATATTCTTCTGGACAGAAGTGGAAATATTAAACTCTGTGACTTTGGCATCAGTGGACAGCTTGTGGATTCCATTGCCAAGACAAGAGATGCTGGATGTAGGCCATACATGGCGGTAAGTGAAAAGACTGAGCTTTCTTGCTTGATAGCCTTTGGTACTGTATTTCTAAGGAATCTGCATTGGTCACACAGTTTCACCATCCTAGAATACTAGAATATTTCCCTCTCCCCTAAAGACTAAGCTCAAGTTCCAGCTTTTCCATGCAACTTCGCCATATTATCCCAGTGAACTCCTATGGCATTCATTGTCTTAACTCTATTCCTCTTACTTGGCACTTAGCATTTTTCATCTTCTCTGATTATTACTATTATTATTATTATTATCATTATCATTATTATTATTATTATTATTATATTCAACCCATCTCATCAACCAAGTGGTAAGTTCTCAGAAGGCTTCTTTGTGTTTCTAGCACGTGTATGCTGTCTGGACTATAGTAGATATCAGTGCATGTTGATACTGTGTCTTAGGTCACTGAGTGATGCTACTTCCAGTTAGAGAAGAATGGGAAGGCCTGAGTTCCTTGCAGAACTCAGTATGTCTTATAGAGCTGAAGCTGTGTTTTGAATATTATTAATCCCTTCTTTAGGGGTGGACTGGGGAACATACTGACCAGTGCAAGGATAGAGACCTCAGGTATTTCCTATCATGAAGCTTCATTTCCCTTAGGGAGACAGACCTGCAGCATCCTCCCACACATGTCATACTAATCTTACCCTGGCGTATTTGCATATACTGTTCCCACAGCCTGGATTTTGATCTATATTTGAGTTGGAAATTTAGCTTAAAACTGAAGAAAAATTTTCTCTCCTTTCATGTTATATTCTTTCTTGATTTTTATGTCTCCATACCTAGTGTTATAAACAAATAGAAAAGTAAGCAAAATCATAGGCTATGTATTAAATAGCTTTTTACCCTGTTTAAGGATGGGCAGGCTTAGCACTACCCAAATTTCACACTTATTTTAAAAACTTGAATAAATTTTATTTTCTGCATCATTTGAAGGTAAATTTTACATGACTAATTCTTTCTCCTCGGCAACCAATGTCACAAAACAATATGTGTATTAATTGTTTAATGAGAAACTAGTTTGCTGTGTAAACCTTCATCTAAAGTATGATAAAAAAAATTAAAAAAAAAAATTAAGGTGGAAAGTAGACTAATCTATTTTAGAAAGTTTTTTCTACAGGAAAATTTTTCCAGTTAACCGTCCATCTCCCATTAGACAGAAAATTAATTTAACAAGACTCTGATTCCATGAGGAAGCTGGTCAATCCATATTTTAACAGAAAACAAAGTTAGTATTTATGATCATTAGTCTGATTTTTCTCTAAAGAACCTATTCACTTGATTAATGTTTTTTTTCTATAACTCTCTCACTTACTACCTTGTGAATCTCACCAAGGTTTTCCTTGTTTGAGAATGATTTAAGATTTCTGCCCTGTCTTTAAACCTTGAACCAAAAATACCCCTCAAGTCTTCTTATAAGCCAAACAATAATTTATCTTAACTAGTAAAAAATGTCATTTTTGAGCATTATGCTCTTTTAAGAACTATCTGTATGATATCAGGTTGACAACAGCAACTCAAAAGATCAGATAGGAACTTTAGGGGGCAGTGTTTATGTTAATGTGGAAGGAACAACTAAGGAAAGGGGGATGAGAAAGGTTGTGCAACTTGAATATAATCAGTGTCACTTAATTGGACATGTAGCAACTGCTGAATTGGTGTATGTTCTGCTGTGTATATCTTCAACAACATCAAAGACAAAATAAAATTAAAAAAAGTTCTTTCTCCTCTTATCTGTTTGCCATTCATCTATAAATAATGCAAGAAACAGTTCTGTATATATTATTTATACATTTTCTGTTGCCTGTTTATATTCTGGTCAGTGTATTTGAAAGTATTCAGTTATTGACCATATAAGTGTTGTATTTTCAGTATCTTTTTAAATTTTGTATTTTTATACATCACCTTTTCTACAAATGGAGATGGAATAGGTGTGTGTGTGTTTATGTAAAAAGAGACCTTCATTTAAATTTTTGCTTTGTGGATGTTGAGTGGCCAGATTCTTGGGGTGATTTGGAAGATCATCATCATATTTAGGGATAAGTGGAACAACATGTTTAAAGACCAAGAAATAAAAATTAGGCATAGAGCATTTGGAAAAATCTTGTAATTTACACAATCAGTAATGATGCCCTGAGAATTAAATGTAAACTCTTACCCATCCTTTTAGGGCTTATGTCAGTCCTAAGGGTGACTAAGTGATTTTGCTGGGAAACGTTGGCCAAGAATTATATTTGATTTATGCAGGCTTTAAAAAATGCAGTTGCAGCCCAGATAGAGTTGATGATTCTTTCTGAATTCAAATAACTTTTAAAGGAAGAAGTAGATTTTCAGTTCTTTTGTAAAAATAAGGTTTACAGGCCCAGGATGTGCTGGGATTTTCTTTCCCTGCTAATCTTCTTCAGCTTTGGAGTAAGCAGGCAGGTAATAAACTATCTGCCTCCAGTCTACACTGGACTAAATGAAGTGCTTATGCCCATTCTAGAGTGTATCAGCATTAATTTTAAAAGCCTCTTTTAAGTGGCTTGAAAGGAGTCCTGGTGGTACAGTGATTAAGCACTTGGCTGCTAACAGAAAGGTTGTCAGTTCAAACCCACCAGCTGCTCTGCAGGAGAAGGATATGGCAGTCTCCTTTCATAAACATTTACAGCCTTGGAAATCCTATGGGGCAGTTCTATTCTGTCCTACAGGGTCCCTATAAATTGTAATCGACTCAGTGGCACTGGGTGGGTTTTAAGTGGCTTGAGTCTCCTTTGATCTGTGAATGTAGCAGCATTCTTGAGAGAGAGAAATGTATTGTGCCTTTGTTATTTGAGATTTATAATTTCTCTTCAGTCTACATGAATTAGGACTATTCGATCGTTCAACATAAAAAATTTGTATAAAATGTAGAATTAAAACATAAATTTTTGATACACCAAATTGTTAATGTTTTGCCACTCTCCCTTGCCACCGTAGGTATATACATATGTGGATGGGTTTGTACTTTTGTGTGTGCTGAACCATTTGAAAGTAAGTTGCAGACGTCATGAATTTCATTCTAAACACTTTATCACACATCTCCCATGAATAAGGGCATTCTTCTGCATAGCCACAGTATCATTGTTGTACCTTTAATAATTAACAAGAATTTC